CAAAACACACACACTCTCACACACAACACACACTCTCACACAACACACACACACAAACACACACACTCTCACACACACACACACAACACACACACACACACAAACACACACACTCTCACACACACACACACACACACACACACAACACACACACTCTCACACAAACACACACACTCTCACACACACTCTCACACAAACACACACACTCTCACACAAACACACACACTCTCACACAAACACACACACTCTCACACAAACACACACACTCTCACACACACACACACACACACACTCTCACACACACACACACACACACAAACACACACACTCTCACACAAACACACACACTCTCACACACTCTCACACAAACACACACACTCTCACACACACAAACTCACACACTCTCACACACAACACACACACACTCTCACACACACACACACACACACAAACACACACACTCTCACACAAACACACACACTCTCACACAAACACACACACTCTCACACAAACACACACACACACTCTCACACAAACTCACACACACTCTCACACAACTCACACACACAACACACACAAACACACACACTCTCACAACAAAACACACACACTCTCACACACAAACACACACACTCTCACACAAACTCACACACTCTCACACAAACACACACACTCTCACACAAACACACACACAAACACACACACTCTCACACAAACACACACACTCTCACACAAACACACACACTCTCACACAAACTCACACACTCTCACACAAACTCACACACTCTCACACAAACACACACACAAACACACACACTCTCACACAAACACACACACTCACACTAACACACACACGCACCCACGCATGCACATGCACACACACAAAGCAGTAGCAGCACGTCTCAAACCAGGGGTAGGGACCAAGGAGTGCATGGGAATTTTATCAGTCCAACTCCTGATTCTGGTTTCGTTCTGGTTTAGTCCAAGCTCAGACTCATTTTGGGTTAGCTTGGTTTCTAACAGTGCTTCTCAAACTGGGGTGCAGGGAGCAGTGGAGTCCATGGGAAATTAGTTTGACTCCTGAGTCACTGCTGAGCTCTGGTGTAGTCCAAGTTTAACACACATTTTAGTTTAGTCCTGTTTTGTGTTCTTTGTTGTGTCCTGGTTTAGTCTGGAGTTAGATCTGGTTTCAATTTTGTTTAAGTCCTTGTTAAGACTAGAAGTATTTTCTTCCAGGTTGCTCCCATTTTAAGCTGTTATTGCAGTAATTGCGTCAATAATATCAGTTATAATTTCGTACTTGAAGGTGGAATAGACTAGCGAGGCTGGCACCACCTAGTGCTTCTGCTCAATTTCATTTCTTTCCAGCAACTAGGTCAGGAATCAGAATACACTAGATGGTTCGCAAAAACCCTGGAAGTGCAAGTTCTGGGGCGCAGGGACCAGCGGATTTGCATGGGAATGATTTAGAGAGGAAATCAGTTCAACTCCTAATTATGGTTTTTGGATTATGGATTTAGTCCTGGTTTTAGATCTTGTCTAAGTCCTGTTTTAGACAAGATTCAGTACCAGGTTGGTCCTAGTATTAACAGTTTAGTTCATATTGTTATTATTGGTTCTTGGATTGTTTGTTTTACCTGGTATAATTCAATTAGTCCTAGATTAGTCCTGCTTTAGTCCTGTTTTAGGCCTGCTTTAGTTTTAGTTTAATCTTGGTTTAGTTCTTGTTTGGTTCTGCTTTACTCCTAGTTTAGTCTTAGTTTAGTCCTGCTTTGGTTTTAGTTTAGTCCTGCTTTGGTTTTAGTTTAGTTCTGCTTTGGTTTTAGTTTAGTCCTGCTTTGGTTTTAGTTTAGTTCTGCTTTGGTTTTAGTTTAGCCCTGCTTTGGTTTTAGTTTAGTTCTGCTTTGGTTTTAGTTTAGGCCTGCTTTGGTTTTAGTTTAGTTCTGCTTTGGTTTTAGTTTAGGCCTGCTTTCATCCTGCTTTGGTTTCAGTTTAATCCTGGTTTAGTTCTGCTTTAGTCCTGTTTCAGTTTTAGTTTAGTCTTGGTTTAGTCCTAGTTTAGTCCTGTTTTGGTTTTAGTTTAGTCCTGGTTTAGTCCTGCTTTAGTCCTGATTCATCCCTTGTTTTATAATAGTTATGGATGTAATCTAAAATGGGATGTCAGAGCTGAATATTCTCTGGGACGGCGCTTGTCAAAAAGTCAGAGTTTGAGCTGTACTGATTGACAGTTCCTGCATGATTGCCTGAGTTGTGCATTGATATTTCACACCTTTAAAATGATATTTTTATTCTGTTTTTGTCAGATTAAGTTTGGAAACGGCGAGTGGGTGGTGGGCTCCGTGCAGTACGAGCACAAGAATGATTTAGCTCTGTACATCATCATCCCAGCTGTCATAGTGCCCATGCTGATCATCATCGCTATCTCCGTCTACTGCTACAGGTGAGTCTGGGGGCAGTCCAGGTTTAGACCAGGTTTAGTCTGGGTTCAGTCCAGGTTCAGTTCAGGTTCAGTCCGGGTTTGCTGTAGGTTTAGTCCTGTTTTTATAATGTAGTCAAGGTTTAGTCCTGGTTATCTTAGTCCAACTTTAGTGCTGGTTTAGTCCTGGTTTTGCCTCACGGTTTAGTCCTGGTTTAGCCCTGGTTTGTCCTAGTTTAGTTCTTGTTTAGCCCTTGTTTAGCACTTGTTTAGCACTGGTCAAGTCAAGTCCTGGTTTAGTCACATGTAAGTTAGGTAGGTGTAGTGTCTTGCCCAAGGACACAACAACTCTAATGTTCACATTTGAGTAAAATCACACTTTGGTTTTGCAATCTACATCTCTTTCATTTCTAGGAAACAATTTTTGTTGGTGAATATTGAAATACTGTCTATAAATAATAAATACTATAATGCTCTCACAGCCTCTATTAGAATACCTGTATATGTTGTCTTCATCAACAGTCCAAACCCTCTGAATGAACCTGTATTCTCACTTCTCTTTTGCAGCTCATTTTGTACGTGTGAAAGCCTCCGATTTAGAAGGAGTTACATGTGGGAAACAAGATAGATCTGGTTCACTTGATAAATAAAACCAATTGTCAGTTGTGGGTTCAATTCTCAAATGGACTTACAATCTATTTTAGTGTACTATGAATTCCCAATTCGAGTTACTGTGGGTCCATTTCATCCCTAACCAAAATAAATGCCAGAAAATAAATTGGACAGAGGATTTATTTGGTTGTCACTGAGAGCGAAGGAAAAATATTTTATTCCAGCTCCATTTTGAAGATGGAAGGAGCGACCCTGCGCAGCCGTGTATACCAATCTCACCAATTTGAACCAAAACAAATGGGCTTTTTCACTGGTTTAAATGTATTCCTTTGACTTTGCCTTGGTTCATACATTTTCAGGAGCAGCAAAATGTTTTTCATCAATGAGAGTTCTGTTGAATACTAAAAGCAATATTTTAATAAGACGAGAAATGTATGGGAGATAAACAGCATTTTGATAGAACATAATTTGTATGATTGCAAGCAAACTATGAAGATATATTGTTATGCGCAAGAGAGCAGGAGAAACTACAGACTTAAATGTATTTTTGCCAAATTTTCATACCTGTATGCTCAAAAATATTGATTTTTTTTCAATAAAAACACAATTTATATTATCTGAAGCAAAATAAAAAGACAGATTTTTTCTGGTCGCACATGTGTGTTAAAGAACTCATATTACAAAATTTTTTGATCTATTATGTTTCCTCATCACCAACAGACCTGGAGTTGTGTTTTGTTTCATTCACACATTTTTAACACACAAACTGTGCATATTTAGGCTGAGTTCTTCCCTTATACTAAAAACACTGTTCCACCTTATGATGTCATGCAGTAATACAGGAAGTGCTGCACTGTGTTGTTCAACTCCTCACACCTTCATTAGAATTTAGATTGGATTCAGGCCTGGAATTGTCAATCTCTACTGAACTAAAGGTGAAAAGGAACTGTTAAGTTGAAAACAACCGCTTCATGACATCACAAGGTGGAACAGAGCATTTTGAGCTTTGGAGATGTAGACAGTTATAATAAAGGATTACTCAAATTTATGTGAATTATAACACAACTCCAGGTATGTTTTTCAGAGAAACACAACATTGTATCATGTCTTAAAGCTCACAAGAGTCTATTTTGCGTAATATAGGATCTTTAACATGCAAACTTACTTTTATGGTGAATTTTACTTTTCAGAATTCAGTGAAATGAGGTCCTAACAGAGACAGAGTTTACCACATCATTTGGACTCTGCTTTTACACACTTTCAATGAGAATTTGTGTCATCTTACTATGACCATTGTAATTGTCATGATAACTCTCTAGCTTCATTTCTATCTGAATGAAGCTAAAGGAATATTCTATTCTGTCAGCTTTACAGTTTTTTGAGTGAAGACGCTTCACGGCCCATCCAAGCTGCTTCTTCATTTCTGGTCAGATGCTGGTGGACACTTATATGTGCCAAAGGGAGGAGTTAACTACACTGACACTACTCTGAAACTACTTGTTCCAGTTAATCTGACCAGAACTGAAGAAGCAGCTTGGATAAAGTGCGAAACATCTAAACGTCTTCACTCTAAAACTTTTGTCTAGTTACAGAATAGAATTTTTCTGTTGTTGTTGGATCCTACCTCAACGACTGAGGAAATATACAAAATAGCTGACTGAAATTATCTGTACTTATGTCATATCTGCTGTCCATGTCTGACCAGGAAGAAAATTATTTTTTTAAATGGTCAAACTAGCCGTTTCCCTTTTTCATGACTTCTGTGACTGCGATGCTAGACTCTTGCGCCGCATACAGACTGAACCTGGTCCGGGACCAGAAAACTGTTGTTTTTTTATTTTCGTATTTTTGGTTTTATTTTGAAAAACAAATGAACGAATGATACATGGATTAAACTAGAGAAAACTAGGACATATTTCTATAAAATTATTTCAACTATATTTTGAAATGTGTATTAAATGTTGTGTTGCAGGAGGAAGAGCCAGCAGGCAGAACGTGAATACGAGAAAGTCAAACACCAGCTGGAGAACCTGGAGGAGAGCGTACGAGACCGCTGCAAGAAAGAGTTCACAGGTTTGTACAGGAGGGTCACATGTGGAGTACAATAACAATATCCATATTTATGTGTCTACTGCAGTCCATTACATGACTATATGTTTCATGTAATTCATTTATTTAAAGGTCCTGAACCTGTAAATATGTCCACTGTTTGCATCTAATGAAGTATTATTTAACTGTACAATGAGAAAGGAAGTGTGTTAGGAGCTTTACTGTTACAGAAAAAGTCTGTTCACTATAATGAGTTTATAAGTACTTTTCAGATCTCTCAGAGACCAGAGAGTTCTGTAAAGTACTTATAAATTCATTGCGGTGGATAATTAGGATGCTCTGAATGCATAAGGTAAGTGAGGAATAACTTTAGACCACTACAAATCATTAGAAAATGTAATTTTGGTCTTAAAATGTTTGTCAATCAATGAATAAGTTAAACTTTATTTATAAAGCTCTTTTCATACAAAAATGTAATGCAAAGTGCTTTACAGTGATTAAAAACAATCCCACATTTTCTTCCACCCATCCACCCAGCCCCCACAGCTGCCCGACCCCATGCACACACATGCATACACATGCACACACATGCGCGCACACACACACACACACACACACACACACACACACATGCTAACATGCTAAAATACATAAAACTACACATAGAAAATGTGAGGCTGAAAACAGGCAAAGAGAAAGCAGTAGAGGCCGACCAATACATTGGTTGGCCGATATTATTGGCCGATATGGGCACCTGTTTGCTTGATATGGGCCGTTTTTTTTGTGGGCATGTTATACGTCGTTATAAAGCTTAGACTCTCTACATTCTGTTCATTTAATCCAATTTACAGACAGATAAATATCCTAATATGTGGCTCCGCATTAGTATTTATCTGCGGAGTCATTTGTGTGTATATGTGTGTCCGTACTGTCCCTGAACACACCCCCAGAGTCGCTTCACTCACGTGTGTTTGTTTACACCCGCAGACATAGATTCAAACACTGAGATTATTTTCTTTTTATGGACAATCGGTTTGAGTCTGGATTAAAAGGACATTTATTAGTGCAGACTTGTGAGGAGGAGCCTGTGTGAGCGCTGAGTTTTGGAAATATGTCGATTTTGAAGTTACTTTTAGTTCTTTTTCATTGGTTAGTGATTAGCTGCTGTAGCTCCCGCACATAAACAGGCTGTTTTCTATTGGTCTATTGTAAAGTGACTATATTGGCCGTATATTTGTGACTGGAGCTGCATTGATATGTAAATGAGCTGTGAATAGACGTGTGAATGATGACATTTACACATATAATTAATGACCGCGGCGCGCACGCATTTACGGCTAAAGGATAATAGTGGTAGTTTCTTTACTAGCTAGTAGTGATGGGTCGGTCGCGAACGAAGCGGCTCTTAGAGCCGGCTCTTTGAAGCAAATGATGGGAGCCTGCTCCTTATTGGGAGCAGTGTTTTCTCTTACTCACTTTTTTTCTCTTCACATCGCGTGCAGATTCGTGGTAGTTTGACAGCGGCAGCGGCTGAATACGAAACGAAAAGTTTGCATAGGAGAGAAAAAATTTGCATGTTTGACTGTAGTTCAGCATAAAATAAATACTCAGTCCTGGTTCAGTTCTGGTTGTTTTAGATGTTTAGATCTGTTTTAGATTTTCATGTTTTAGATCTGTTTTAGTCCTGGTTTAGTCCTTTTTTAGTCCTGGTTCAGTCCTGCTTTAGACCTGCTTTAGACCTGCTTTAGACCTGCTTTAGACCTGCTTTAGACCTGGTTCAGTTGTGGTTCAGTTCTGGTTTAGTCCTGCTTGCAACAAAACAACCTGAAGAGCCGCTTGGGAGCTGAAAGAGCCAGCTGCTTTTAGTGAGCTGAGCCAAAAGAGCCGGTTCTCTAAAAAGAACTGGATTACTCATCATTAGTAGCTAGAATGTGATGCAAAAATGCCATTAGTCCGACCTACTGTCGGCAATTATATTGGCAGCTCCAACTCCCATTTTATCGGTATCATATCGGCCACAACAAAATCCATATCGGTCGGGCCCTAGAAAGCACCATCAGAGGAACCGTCTACAGCAGGAGCAGAGAGCCTTCCACTGTCACCAGGAACGGCCACAGGACCCAGGGGAGAGATGAGGCCCAAGCACCATCCTTCCACCAGGAGCCCACAAAATAGTATATCCCAAACACAAACTGTGTTTCTGTGTTTGGAAAATACTTTTTTTTAATTATACCAATATCCAGTGTTCTTGTTGCTGTAGCCGATAACCGAAATGTATATTTAAAACCGACATAGAGGCATGCAAATGTACCTCTCTAGTATCGCTAGTACCAATATTAGAGCTGTCCAATGCGCATTGCCTCTACAGATCCATGTTTCTGCTCATCTCAGGCCTAATCAAGTGTTTTTATAGCCACGATTACATTTGTGTGAGTCGAATAAATCCCCTCCTACTGTCACACCATCATCATTATGTGGCGTTTGGCAGGTGCTGTAATAGAAAACAATCTTTCACAGACACGGTGTTATTTAAAGCCATAGACGCACTCCTGTGTGCCTCTTGTGAAATGGAGATGGAGACAGATGAACACCACAAATGGGAAAGTGCTGTGGAGTTAATGGGGACACATTTCTACCTTGGATCTGCTGTCATGTAGATTTGATATTAAAGAGCTGTTATGAATGAACGAGAGAACAAATACTACAGCAGACGCAGTACAAGTCAATTAATGTCAAATTTCACTTTAATGCAGCCTTTTTTTGTTTGTTTGTTTGTTTGTTTGTTGTTTTTTTGGGGGGGGTTTGTACTCAGAGTTATATTCATGAATATTTGGGTGCCCTTGTATTCTGCTTTCGACTGCCACCCACAGCTGACTTACTTCCATGTATTTAAAAATGCACACATGTCACTCCTGACTGTAAACCTACAGCTTATGACACAGAGAAGGAATGATTCCCAAGGTGACAGTCTCTCTTCTCATTTGTAGCTTTCACAAACCCTTTGTTACTTCAGTTTCATTTTAGACAAAAAGGTACGTGTTTCACATGGCTACTGCATGTATACACTCTTATTTGGAAAACTTTGGGAATCCTGATTAAAATGATCTATAGAAAAGGCAAATGCATTCACACATTACTGGTTTTACAACATGCTGTAAGGAAGAGGCAAAAGAAAATTATTATAGATGCTGCTGGGTTTCAGTTGACCTCACAACATTCTTTTAGCTAATGCCATTTAATCCAGTTGGGGGTAACTAAAATTAGTACTGTTAGATTTCTGTTTTTGGTGAGGTATGAGGTCCTTTAGAAATCATTAGGTTTGATTTTGTATATTCCATAGGAAGGTGTACTGCCATAAATAAGGTAAAGAGGCTCATCCCCCTTGCCCAATCCTGCCTGGGTTTCAGATTGATATCAAATTAGAACTGTTGCCATAGCAAAGTCCAATTTTTAAATAAGTATTATATCTTTTGAATGGGGAAAGGTTTTCAAAATGTTGCATATAACAGGAAGCATTGAAGTTAAATAGTTAATTTTGTATTTTGTGTTGTCTGTGCAGATTTGATGATTGAGATGGAGGACCACACCAATGACTTGAGTGAGGGCCGCATCCCATTCCTGGATTATAAGACCTACACAGACCGAGTGTTCTTTCTGCCATCCAAGGATGGGGCCAATGATGTAATGATCACAGGGAAACTAGACATCCCTGAGTCCAGAAGAGCCACAGTCACACAGGCTCTCAACCAGTTCTCCAACCTGCTCAACTCCAAGACCTTCCTCATCAATGTAAGATACATTGCACTCTTATTCTGCCTGGGGTTATCAGAAAAATTGATACTCCAAAAAACAAACCATGCTTAAATTAGATACACCTTTGAAAATTCCATAGACTTCTTGACAAATTACTTGACTATTACTGAATTATAGTTTTTGAATTATATCAGAACTAGTTGACATTTTTCACCGTAATATAAATAACAAAACTTGCATACTAACTACTTGTCCCCATGGAGATGTTATTCCTTTTTCTAGAATGTTCCACAGTAAGGTACTGAACTTGTCTATCTCCATGGAACCAAGGGGTGGGATCTATAACAAAGATGAACTAAAAAAAAAAAGTCAGAAGAAACAATGCTATCATCATCTATGATCCTAGAATTTGAAACCATCCATAGTTCAAAGTATCGTACAGTTGTTTTATATGAAGATACAATGCCATAAGAAAAGATGGGATTATTCATAATACATATTTTGTTTCTTGGTTTACTTTTGTATGTTTTTACTTTTTTAACAAATAATTATTTTGAGGAAATTTATTTGTCAGATTTTTAAATTACATCTGTTGTAATGTAGCCTTTATGGGGCGGTTGTTCATTTAAAACCACAACAATAGATTCTACAGTAGTACAATCAATAGGCTCCTAATGATCGTCCTTAAGATACTGTTTAAAGGTCTTATATTTTACGCAATATATAAACATTACACGTTATAATGTTGTCCTCAAAAACATACCAGGAGTTGTTTTTGAATAATCATTTATTATTAGTCTGTCTACACCAGGGGTGCTCAATACGTCGATCGCGATCTACCAGTCAATCGCCAAGATCGTGTGGGTAGATCGCCGTGTCTCGTCTCGGACTCGCGTTTGGACTCGGTCTTGTCTCTCACTCAAGGTCTGACACTCAACAAGTGCGATCATATTTCATTACGGCCGCTGCTGTTGGCAATAAACTTGTACCAGGGTGCAGGAGCGTGTGGGGCGTCTCAGTGCAGCCTGTGCGCTCATTTGAAACCCGCAGAGACTCTACGGCACATCACAAATACACACGCTCCCTATGCACGGCTCATCTGCGACAACGTGTGCCCTCATGTACCAGCGTGCATCACAGGGCAGGTTAAACTTCCTAAACCTCCTACCTGTCCATCTGCCTCACGTCAGCATGCCGCCCCTCACCTTTTCACGCTCTCGCTCCTTCCTGATGAGAAGAGCAAGACGAAACGTGAAGGAAAAATGAGTCTAAATTTGTGTTTGCAGTGTTGGCACAAAACAGGTCTACAGCACAGAGCAGATCTACAGAACAGACCTACTGCCACATTTGGCTGAAGTTTGTCTAACAAAAGTGCACAAATGCATCTGTGTTTGTCACGATGTGCATTTGGTTTGGTTAATGTGCAGAGGCTGGTAAATATCACTGCAAAACCAGAAAAGAATGCAACTCCAGTTTGGAACTTTAACAAACAGGTTTAAAAATCTTACCTGCTTCCTTCACTTTTTTCACAGTTTTGTGTAAAGTGCCAGAGGAAGCTCTCTTAAAGAAGGAGTTCTCAAACTGTGGGTGACGGTCCAAAAAAGGAGCACAGAGTGTTTCAGTGCAGTTTGCTTGGCTTTGTATTAGGTAGATCTTTATGACTTTGTCATTTTGTAAGTAGCTCACATGCTGAAAAAGTGTGGGCACCCCTGGTCTACACCTTCAAAGCTCAAAATGCTTTGTTCCAGCTTGTGATGTTATGAAGCAGTAGTCCATCCCTCCATCTGTCCTTCCATTTTCTTCTGCTTATCCGGGGCTGGGTCGGAGGGGCAGCAGTCTAAGCAAGAATTCCAAGACTTCCTTCACCCCAGACACTTCGTCCAGCTCCTCCAGGGGGACCTCAAGGCATTCCCATGTCAGCCGAGAGACAGACAGATGCTCAAGCCTCCTCTGACATGGTGGAGCAGCAGCTCTACTTCAAGCTCCTCATTCTCATCTCTAAGGGAGTATCCCACCACACTGCGGAGTAAAATCAATTTGGCCTCTTGTAACTGTGATCTTGTCCTTTTGGTCATTACCTAAAGCTCCTGTGAGGGGAGGAACATAGATTGACTGGTAAATTGAGAGCTTTGCTAATAAATTGAGAGCTTTGCCTTTCCTCACAGCGGTTCGATACAATGACCGCATCACTGCCGACACTGCACTAATCCGCCAGTCAACTTCACGCTCCATCCTCCCCTCCCTCGTGAACAAGACCCTAAGATACCTCCTCCACTTGAAGCACGGACTCTCTGCCCACTTGGTGAGGGCAAGCCACCTTTTTCCGGTTGAGAACCATGGCCTTGGATTTGGAGGAGCTGATCTTCATCCCAGCACATTCACACTCAGCTGCAAACCGTCCCAGTGCATGTTGTAGGTCCTAGTTTGATGAAGCCAACAGGACAACATCATCTGCAAACAGCAGATATGTTGTGTCCCCTAACCATACCCCCTTCTGCCCCTGACTGAGCCTAGAAATTCTGTCCATAAATACAATGAACAGAACCAGTGACAAAGGGCAGCCCTGGTGGAGTCCAACATGCACTGAGAACTTATCTGACTTTCTGCTGGTAATGAACACAGCTCCTATGCGACCAGACAGCCCTTAGCAAAGGGCCCCGAACCCTATACTCTCAGAGCACTCCCCAAAGGACACCACGAGGGACACAGTCGAATGCCTTCTCCAGATCCACAAAACGCATGTGGACTGGTTGGGCAAATCCCACAAACCCTCAAGCACCCGATGGAGTTTGTAGAGCTGGTCCAGTGTTCCAGGGCTGGGATGAAAACCACACTGTATTTAGAACACACCATTCCCCCTTCTTAAACAGAGAGACCACCACCCCAGTCTGCCAGTGCAGAGGTGTGTCAGCCAAGACAGCCCCACAACATCCAGAGACTTACAATACTCAGGATGGATCTCATCTACCCCCGAAGCCTTCTTACTGAGGAGCTTACCAACCACCTCAGTGACTTCAGCAAGGGTGATGGACGAATCCACCTTCGAGTCTCTAGCCACTGCTTCCTCTTCAGAACACATGATGGTGTGATTGAGGAGATCCTCAAAGTACTCCTTCCACTTCCGACAACATCCTCAGTCAGGTCAACAGCTCTCCCCCCACACTGTAAACAGTGTTGGTGAAGCACTGCTTCCTCCTTCTGAGGCGCTGGACAGGTTGACAGAATTTCTTTGAGGAGAACCAATAGTCCTCCTCCATGGCCTTTGCGAACTCCTCCCAGCCGCAAGTTTTTGCCTCTGCAGCTGCACGGGCTACAGCATACTTGGTTGCCTAAGGAGTTTCATGAACCAACAAGGCCTGGTAGTATTCCAGTGTCCACCACCAGGTTTGGGGATTGTCGCCGTGACAAGCACCACAGACCTTCTGATCACAGCTATGAGCGGCCGCATCAACAATAGGGGCTGAGGACAAAGCCCACTCAGACTCCATGTCCCCAGCCTCCCACAAGATCTGGGAGAAGCTCTCCCAGAGTTGTGAGCTGAAGTTCTCCTTCCAGCTTCTTCCTCCACCAGCGGATCGAACTCACAACCAGGTGATGATCAGTTGACAGCTCAATCCCTCTCTTCACCTGAGTGTCGAAGACACATGGCCGGAGGTCAGATGACACGACGACAATCATCGACCTTCAGCCTAGATGGACACCCTTGTGCTTGAACATAGTGTTTGTTACGGACAAACTGTGACAGAACTCCAATACCAGAACACCGTCAGGTTCAGATCAGGGAAGCTGTTCCTCCTGATCACCTCAATCCAGGTGACACTGTCATTGCCCATGTGTGCGTTGATGTCCCCCAGTAGAACAACAGAGTCACAGAGGCTGGTGCTCTGTCTAGTACCCCTCCTACAGACTCCAAGAAGGCCGGGTACTCATGGCCCCGGTAGGGTCAGTCATGGCAAACAGGTCCTGGGGCATGTGTCAGACTGAGACCGGTTCAGAGGCCCCATATGATGAGTTCTACACCGGGGCCAGTTACATATTGGCGTTACCCGGCCGAGCACAACCTGAAGGAGCGGCATGGGCCCGTCCTCCTGTGGACCCACCACCCAATGAGTGGCTGGTGCAGAGCAGTCTGAGCAGCAGTCGAAGGCAGGGGCCTTGATGACTGGATCTCCGGACATGAAGACCATGGAATGGCACTTCGCTGGGGGTGATGGAGCTGAGCTTGTGAGGGAGGTTGAGTGTTACCGACTAGATATAGTTGGCCTCGCCTCAGCGCACAGTTTGGGCTCTGGAACCCAACTGCTTGTGGAGGCCTGGACACTCCACTTATCTGGCGTAGTCTACAGGGAGCGGCGGCAAGCTGGTGTGGGCCTGCTCATTGCCCTACAGCTCAGCCGCCATGTGTTGGAGTTCATCCTGGTGAACAAGAGGGTCATAAACCTTCAAGCAATTCTTGAAGGTGTATGAATTTAAAAATACAATGGAGCACTTCCTATATTACCACATGACAACACAAAGTGGAACAGAGTCTGAGAGCCCCTCAGGTTAAATATGCAGGGTTTGTGTATTAAAAATGTGTGAATGAAACACAGCACAACTCCAGCTATGTTTGTGATGAGGAAACAACATTATAACATTAAAGCATATGGCAGATAAGCAAAAGAAAAGAGTCATAATGGACATTGAGACCCCTGTATTTGAATATTCCGGGTCAGTAGTTCAGAAATGGTGGTGTTATTGTAATTACTCAGTGTCGGTGTGTGCATTTGTTCACACCTCAAAAACATTTAGTCCTTTATTAGAGAAATCTCCTTTTAATTAGCGCTCAAGCCGCGTGTGTGACCCTCAGGCCAAAACAAGAGTGCAATAATCCCCCATTAATCCTAATCAAGATCATGTTTATTTCATTGTTCTGCTGGGTTAAGGCCAGGTTACAGCCTTTATGTAAATAGGACTTTTAGCAGGGGAGGAACATTACCAAATGTATCGTCATTTTAATATGTTTTTTGTAACTTGAGCGGAAGAAAGGCTGTGTAGAAATTTTAATAGTAGTAGTAGTGGCGGTGGTAGTGGTAGTAGTAGTAGTAGTAGGCCAATGTATATGTGCAGGGTATAAGGAAATAGTAGTAATTGTAGTTGTTGTAGTAATAGTACTAGCAGGAGTAGCAGCAGTAACATTTTACTAAAACTGAAACTTCATCTCAAGGGCTTTATACAGTGTATGTAGCAAAAATGCTACTAATAAGACCCACTGGCCTCTCTGATCACCACCAATAACCTAATTCACACATCAAGAAGAATGAAGTGTCTTGCCCAGGGACACAACAACACCTGAGCCATTATTGCCGTGTTTCATAATAAGCTGACAACAATAAGTTGACAATACTTGTTTATGGACACTATTAACTTTGGAATCAATGTAGTAGTGGTAGTGGTAGTAGGTAGTAGACAGTAGTTTATAGGTAGTTAATTGGTAGTAGGTAGCAGTAGCAGTCAGTGTTGGAGAAGTTACATAAAAAAGTAATGTTTGCTCATTACTCGTGACTTCTTTAAAAAGTAATCCCTTACTTTGCTTAGTTACCCTCTATGGAAAGTTACTTTTTACGTTACTCGTTACATTTTGATGGTAAACTCCATCTAAGGCTAAATACAGCACAAGACCAATAATCGACAAGACCTGTACAAGAAAGTTGAAACAAACTTTGAAGAGAGAGTTGAAGACGACTCACAACAACGTCTGCCTGGGAGATTCAACTCGGCGGACAAGGGACAGCCGCTCGCTGTGGAAGGATCTCCCTCGAGCGACCTCTCCCCATGTGTCACTGGCCTCCACTTCCTCTGAGGCAGTGTACCGTCACCGGCTCTGGGTCTGCCAGGAAACTTTACTGCTCCTCCTCAACTACGTCACGCTGGCAGGGCGGGGACCGGCATGCTTACACAGAAAAGTAATGCTGCCAAACTGAAAAAGGAACTATGTTTCGATACCAAATTTTCAGTAGTAGTACGTTATACCATTTTTACCTGAAAAAAGTTGTTACATTACTGTAACGTGTTATTTGTAATGCGTTACACCCAAGACGGGTAGCCGTAGCACCAGCAGTAGCAGGCCTGAACTATCACGGCCCTATAAAACAATAAGTTGAGTATGCTTATTTGTTGAAAATATTAACTTATTAACTTGCTGTAACAGTAGCGTAAGTAGTAGTACACACATGGTAAATTTTTCTATAGCGCTTTTCCACCTTCAAGGCACTCAAAGTGCTTTACAACAAGGAACTACTCACCCATTCACACACACATTCACACACCAGTGTACGCTGACACTGTGGGCAAGGTGGGTTAAGTGTCTTGCCCAAGGACACAACAGCAGCATTCATCTGTGGGAGCTGGAATCACACCAGCCAACCTGTGGGTCAGTGGGTCCGACCGCTCAACTTGTGATGTTTATGTCAAGAGCTGGATTCGAACCTTCAGATCAGTGGGCGAATGCCTCACACATCCATGTCTGGTGTACTGTTTTGCCCAAGAGCACAACAACACCTGAGCCTTTGACACCCCATTTATGTATAACAATAAGTTTTCTCTGCATACCTATAGACTAGGGATGGGCATTCAATGAAATTTTCTTAATCAATCGTCGGAAGAATTAACGATCGATTATCGATTAATCATTAACGTTTTTATATTAAAATGATCATCATTATTATTACTATCTGCACTACTAATCTGCATAAATAAATTCAACTTTATGACATATAAACCGTAACGACTCTAGAGCCACATCAATCCGTTTGAAATTATAATGTGTTTAATTAAGTTTTGTGCAACTCTCACAGAAACAAAACTTAAAACTGCATCGCTAATTTGCATAAACTCAGCGAAGATAAAACTACAGCTCTTGTGCGCTGATGCGGTTAACATCTGTCGGATTAAAAGACATGACTCGGTGGAATACAGGTTAGTTTGACCAGATTTGCGTTTGTCAAAATCAGGACACCGTACGGCGGGAGGGAGGTGGGGACTCGTCATCGACATTGCGCGACTCTCACCTGGCAAAACTTTTTCCCACTGGACACCGAAACATATGTTCCTGCTTTGTACACTGTCCACATGGACTCCCACTTGTCCCGAATGCAACAGAAAGCGTGGAATTTCTTGTACAAATCATCGTTAAATACGCATTTGTGCTTCGGTACGTTGCAGACTGACCGACTGTGTCTCGCTCCTTCTGAGTGCAGAGCTACATGTACGGACCCCTGTTTGGTCACGCTATGCACAGCAACCTGCATTCGGTTTGTCGATTAAAATTAACGTAATCGATGAAATTCTTAATGATCAATTATCGATTAATCGATTAATCATGCCCATCCCTACTATGGGCACTAACCACAGTAATCAGAAACAGTGCAAAAAATATGACATAGATTTCTCTCATTTTGTGACTTGATAAAGACATCACCATCTCTGCTCTATGTCTGTTTAAACACGAGGGAGTCTGCTGCATGCCACACTAAATATATCTACTGGGTCCACACAGTTTATATAAGAATGTACAACACTGAAAATGAGGTTTATAGGTACAGCAGAGCACAAGAACTGTGAACAGAACTAATCATTAGTGCTATTGGTGAGACTGGCACAGACACAGGTACCTGATGTGTTAACCATCTGATTTCCTCTTTACTGAAGTGTCTTCTCCAAGTCTGAATGTTCTCCAATTAAGATAATTTTACTTTGAGATCACATATTAACTATGTAACAGAGTTTTAGCTGATGTTTTGCTTTCTATTCAAGATCAGTGGGATTTTTTTTTTCCTTCAAAATCGTGCTTTCCAAAAAATAGTACAGGGTTTTTGATGCAAAGAAAATACTTAATACGTAATACCGGCGTCACTTCCATAATGATCATAAAATCACTTTTTAGATTGTAGATTGTCATTTTCAAAGCCAAATAATATTACATGTGGTCTTAAACTAGTTCTGACATACATAAAGGCCATAGAAATTTTCCAAGAAAGATCCAATGCCATACTGTGGAACATTCCAAGCTAAGAAATAACCTCTACTTGGAGACTAGCAAGTGGCAGACCCTCCACCAGAAAAGTAACATAGTACATCTTTAAACACTTAAATATTTTCAGGAACTGCACTTAAAGGATTTAGGTTGAGGGTCCAAAGTCTTCTATTCTCCATGGAGATGCTTTTTTGCCTGGAATGTTCCACAGGTATTGCATAAACTTGGTGATCCCAATGGAAAAAAGCAGGTGACTCCAAACTGTTTTTAAGACAGTAAAAATCTGTACAGGAATGTTTCTGAGTGCAGCCTTTAAAACTCTACTGTGGAACATTCCAGGCAAAGCAATACCATTTTCATGAGACTAGCAGGTGTCAGACCATCCATCAGCAACCACACTATAAAGTCCTTCATTATAGTTTTTTTTGCTGTGCTTTTGCAGTTCATCCGCACACTGGAGCGCAGCAATGACTTTAATGCCCGGGCTAAGGTGTACTTCGCATCTCTTCTCACGGTTGCTCTTCATGGGAAGCTGGAGTATTACACAGACATCATGAGGACTCTGCTGCTGGAGCTCATGGAAGAGTATGTCAACAGCAAGAACCCCAAACTCATGCTCAGAAGGTATGGACACAGCTCTTATACTCTTATACTTTTATTATAACTCCAGAAATATTGGTGGTTGTCTTTTGAAATATAAATCCAAGCTCACCCACCACAGACTTGTCAAATATGACTAATTTGAGTGTTCTTGATGTGTATTCCTGCTTTAGTCAATTTTCAATATTTTCCCTGCTTTAGACCTGCCTTAGACCTTGTTTTTACCTTTTTCCTTTTTTTGTTTTCTTTTCAAAACTAAGTTCACATTAAGGATAAAATCAGCGCCAGGTTCTTTCAACTATTTAAGGTTTATCAAGTATCATATCTATAAGGTTTTTCCAAATGTGTTCTATAGATTGTCTTTACCGCTGTGTGGGTCAAGGTTCCCTACAGTATAGGTTTAAGGTAATTAAAACAGCCATGCTCCTGTAATATATCAAACATATTAAACTGCATTGTTCTCCTTTTGCCTTTACAGCAGGGGTGGGCAAACTTTCTGGCTCGCGGGCCACATAGGGTTCTAAAGTTTGACTGAAGGGCTGGACAGAAGACAGGACATAACGTGTTAAGAGCTCAGATTCATTACGTTCTTATTCACATTTACCTAGGACTTCAGACACGGGCTACACGTTTCATCACTGCTGTGATAGATTCAAAACACATAAAATTGTTGAGACCTGTTCCACTGCACACCACGAGTGAATGTATATCGGCAGTTCACCGTTTCCGAATATGACTGGTAACAGCTCAAAAACAAACAAAGTTCATGCCAAACAACCACAGACACACACCTGTGAGTGTGGTAAAACCTGACTCCAAAATGTTGTACACACTAATAATTACGACTCAGAGTCCATGGGTTGCCTTGATGGATTTTTACCAACTCAAAATGGAAGCAGTGCAGTCTTATATCTTAAGCACCAACTACTTCACTCATGGTCCGAATAACTCCTGTAAGAACACTTTCCCATAAAGCATTGCGGCCAACATAATACGCCACAACTCAATGTATATATAGTGCGCCATCTACTGGGAAACGCTGGAAATGCATGACAAATAAAACATCAACAAGGTTTATTATTGTAATTTATTCCAGTTAGGCGGGCCGGATTAAAAGGTTTAAAGGGCTGCATACAGCCCCCGGGCCGTAGTTTGCCCACCCCTGCTTTACAGCCTCCTGTTCAGTAACTTTGACACAGCGTGAATGGCTCAGGTCATCAGGTTTCTGTTTGAGAGGGATGAGTCAGATGTGTGCACTGTAAGCAACAGATGTATAGAAACTGTATTGGATTTTTTTTTTTTTTAACAATAGAGTAGAATTAATTAAAGAACAGTAGATGTAATTTTAGACTTTTAATTTTAGCCTCCTGATTTAGTCCTGATTCACTACTGTTTGGGTCCTAAGGAGGCCCTGGGGAAGACCCAGAACACTCTGGAGGGACTATGTCTCTCGACTGGCCTGGGAACGCCTCAGGATCCCCCCAGAAGAGCTGGAGGAAGTGTGTGTGGAGTCTGGGCCTTCCTGCTCAGACTACTGCTACCACTACCCAGCCCCAGATAAAGCTAAAGAAAAAGGAAAATGTGGATGTTTGTGTCTTAGGGTGCATATTAGAGCCTGACTGATATATCGGTTGGATATGGTGCATGTAAATGTCCTAATATGTGGCTCCGCATCAGTATTTATCTGTCATTTGTTTGGGTGTGTGTCCGTACTGTCCCTGAACACACGTCACTCATGTCGCATCACTCACATGTTCTTGTTTACACCCGCAGTCATAGATCCATGTGCGCAACACTGAGATTATATTCTTTTTATGGACAATCGGTTTGAGTCTGGATTAAAATGACATTTATTAATGCAGACTTGTGATGTGAGGAGGAGCCTGTGTGAGCGCTGAGTGTTAGAAATATGTCGACTTTGAAGCTAGTTTTGGTTCTTTCTCATTGGTTAGTGGTTAGCTGCTGTAGCTCCCATACATAAACAGGCTGTTTTCTATTGGCCTATTGTAAAGTGACTATATTGGCCGTATATTTGTTACTGGACCTGCATTGATATGTAAATGAGCTGTGAATAGACGTGTGAATGATCCACATTTATGCATGTAGTAGTAGTAGTAGTAGTAGTAGTAGTTTATTTTCTTTGGTAATCATGCATCATATAACAATGATTTAACAAAAAATAAATAAATAAAATTATGCAGTTAATGCATATCAATAAAGTTATTCTGTAGACCGAAGGGATTTAGGTTGAAGTTTAACACTTGTTTTGCCAAACCCTAGTAACATATAGAATAGGATACAAGATGGCAGAACTATTTACAGAAAACAACAACAAAAAATCCTCTTTTATGAGAGCAGGAAAGAAAATGTCCTAAATGTTATAGTATACACTTACACAATACAGAACACAATCCAATATACGTTAATGTTCATACACACACACACATACACACACTCCCTGTACATGGTAATATTTATACCTATTGGTTTATAATATACACTTAAATATATAAGTATAATTGGGGGTTACAGTTAATCTGTAGGTTTAATGGGGTAAAATATGATTTATTGTATTTCTCTATATTTCTCTATAATTTTAGTCTGATATATTTTTTTAAATGTGCAAATTGTTTTAGAGCCTTTTAAAGTTTCATCAAGACTATTCCACAGATTGACACCTCTGATGGAGACACATCAACTTTTCAGGATGGTCCTCACAAGAGCTTTCTGAAATAGGCCTGATCCTCTCAGATTGTACTTACTCTCTCTGGGTTTGAACATGTCTTGGATAGGAGCAGATTGTTATGTGCCTTAAACATGACAACTGCAGTATTTAGATCAACAAGATCATGTAATTTTAATGTATTTAGTTTAATAAAGAGAGCATTTGTTGGGGCATAGTAATCGGCATTATTTATGATTCTAATAGCTTTCTTTTGCAGTAAGAAAATTGACTTGATGTTTGTTTTATAATTACTCCCCCATATTTCCACACAATAGTTTAGTTAATAATAGTTAATAGTTAGTTCATTTGAGTGCATTATGATTTACAGAGTTTTTGATTTTACATAATATAGCAATGATTTTTTTAATCTTTGTCTTCAATATGTTTATGTGCAGTTTCCAGTTTAATTTATCATCTATATTTATTCCCAAGAATTTTGTTGAATACACCCTCTCAATTTCTGTACTACCAATTTTTATATGGCACTGTTTATTTATTTTTTTATTTCCAAAAATAATGTGTTTGGTTTTATTCAAATTAACTGATAATTTATTCATGTCAAACCATTTCTTTACAGTTGCCAGTTCCCTTTGAACTTTGTCGACAAGATGATCAAGATTTTCCTCAGAGCAATACAAGCTGGTGTCATCAGCAAATAAAATATTGTGCACATTTTTAGGACCTTTCCAGTATCATTAATGTATATTATAAATTATTTGGGTCCCAGTACAGATCATTGGGGAACTCCATGTGATATATTCTTCTTACCTGAATTTACATTGTTTATTTGTACATATGGATCTCTGCCTGTTAAGTAACTTGTTATCCAGTCATGTGCAATGCGTCTAATTCCATACCTTTCCAGTTTGTTCAAAATAATAATATATAATATATATATAATATATAATAATAGTAATGTGTGGTCTATTGTGTCAAAGGCTTTCCTGCATATATTATGCATATAATTAATTACCGCAGTGCACAGCATTTACGGCTAAAGGCTAATAGCGGTAGTTTCTTTACTAGCTAGTAGTGATGGGTCAGTCGCAAACGAAACAGCTCTTAGAGCCAGCTCTTTGAAGCAAACAACGAGAGCCTGATCCTTATTGGGAGCCGTGTTTTCTCTTTCTCTCACTTTTTTTCTCTTCATACCGTGTACAGACTCGTGGTAGTTTGACAGCGGCAGCAGCTGAAAATGAAATTTTCAGAAATCTGCGTTTGCATAGGAGAGAAAAACGTGCATGTTTGGCTGCAGTTCAGCATAAAATAAATAAACCAGGACTAATCTTGGGCTCCAGAGAGGGAGAGAGAGAGAGAGACCGAGTCCTGACACTCAGTCCTGGTTCAGTTTTGGTTTAGTCCTGTTTTACACATGGTTTAGATCTGTTTTAGTCCTGGTTTAGTCCTTTTTCAGTCCTGGTTTAGACCTGGTTCAGTTCTGTTTTAGTCCTGCTTGCAACTAAACAATCTGAAGAGCTGCTTGGGAGCCGAAAGAGCCAGCTGCTTTTAGTGAGCCGAGCCAAAAGAGCCGGTTCTCTAAAAAGAACTGGAATACCCATCACTAGTAGCTAGAATGTGATGCAAAATGCCATTAGGCCAATCTACTGTCTGTAAATATGACACAAAGAGGCAGAATAACAATAAATGTTGCCTAAATAAATCCAATTTAAAATCCACCAGAGCAAAACCTAAGTTTTTTAAACAATTCAACATTTACAGTGAATTTTTACATTACTAAATATATCGGCGATTATATCGGCTACCGGCAGCTCCAACGACTGTTTTATCGGTTTCATATCGGCCACAACAAAATCCATATCGGTTCGGCTCTAGTGCATATACAGTACACTTGCACAATCACCACACCAAAACTGTGACTAAACCTGGAACTAAACCTGTATTACACCAGGACTAAACCAGTACAAGAAGAGGACCCAATCAGAACAAGTGTGGACCGACCATTAGTTCTGGTTGAGTCCTGGTTGAGTTCTGGTTGAGTACCTCTTTAAACCTGGAATCTTTATTAGGATGCTCTATATCTATATATTTTTTTTATTTGTTTAAAACTGGTTTAGTGTTTAGTTTTACCTTGGTGCTAAGAGACCTAGAAGTAATCTTAGATCAGTCCATGTTTAGTCTTAGTTTAGACCTTGGCTTATATTTGCTTTTATACAGTATTTAGTTCTTGTCTAGTCCAAGCTTAGCCCCAACTGTGTGTAAATGTGTAAATCCAATTAAATTGAATGGCATGATTCTGTCCCTGCGCTTTGCACCATCCTGTAAAATGTCCCTTCTCAGCTCCAGTTGAAATCTCCTCATAATCTGGCTCTGGCCCTCTCTGTGTCTGGTTTAGGAGCTCTGGGAATTGGACCAACTTGTTGTGGACTGTTTCGTTTTGTTTTCATGTCTGTGTGTGTGTGTGTGTTTGTGTGTGTTTGTGTCAGGGGCTGTGTGGTGTGTGTGTTTGTGTGGTGTGTGTGTTTGTGTGGTGTGTGTGTTTTTGTGTGTGTTTTTGGTGGTCCATTATCAAACTCCAAACTGCTCACTCCACTCCACTCGCACGCCGTCTGTTGGTCCTTCTGGCTATTCTCTCTTTCTGCAACTTTCACAAGTGCTTCAAATGTCTTTTCATTTTTTCCTTCTACTTCACTCACAGTGTTGCAGACTTAGACACATTTTGTTTCATTTTGGGGGGTGGCACTTTTAATAAAAATAGTAATAAGAATGTCTTACACTGTAGTCATTTTTCTTTCATTTTACACAGTGGTGTTAGTGAACACTGCTGACCACCTTCTGGAGCTGCTCTCAGTATGGTAGTGGACTCCAGTGTGGTTCACTTGTGATGTGAACACTACACGCTCTCAATCCAGGCCAACACTTCCATTCCTGGTGTCCTGTACAGTAACTGGTAGTAAACTCTTCATAACTCTGTAATTATCCTGCAGTGGTCACATTACTTTCTCCCGCTGTGAATGTGGAATCCAAACCTCGCTAATATCTTGATTTTTGTCAAGATGTTAGCCAATGGGCGAGTGCGCTTTCTACATTGTCGTTTCTTGCTGCAGTTTGGTGAGAACATGAGCTGCACAAAACCGAACCAGTCAACTTGTCCCATGAAAAAGTAGATTCAAACCAGGACTAAAGTAGATCCAATCCAGTACTACACCAGGTCTAAGCAAGCAACAAAGCAGATAAGGACTAAACCAAGGCAGGTCAGGGAGAGGAGGTGTTTGACCTTGGCAGGATCATTCGATTGGAGAACAGATGATTCATCTGCCATATTAGACATTTTTATATTGATTGTATTTATTCTGAAGATGATTCCCTTCCCAACAATTGGTCAGTGAAATGTTTGGAGACACCGCAGCGGAGTAATGACAGATGGTTGCCCAAATCTGATGAGAGTTTTCTGTTCAGAGATAAATGTGTTTTTAATAGAACTGTCAAATGAGATTCTGCATTTGGCTCAATCACTGCTGTTCATCTCAAAGTTAAATATGCTGTTCAGATGGATTGGTTTGAGTCCTGCATTAGACCACAGGTTATTAGACCTGGTTAAAACCTGGTTTTAGTCCTGATTAAGTCCAAGTCTACCTCTATTATTACTAGTTTGTAGTTCAAGACTTTTCGCAGCTCATCCAAGCTGCTTGTTCTTCTTCAGAACTGAAGAAGCAGATTGGATGAGCTGCGAAAAGTCTTCAGCCAAACTAACTTTTGTCCAGTCGACAAATTGAATTTTCTCCTCGACATGGATTTTACCTGAATGACTGAGGGATTCTTCACACAACACTTTGTAATTAGATGCAAACAGTACACAGTGGTCTCATTTTGACTCTAAGAGCTGCTTTTACAATATATCTGCACTGATGGAACACACATTTTACTTTATTAAGACGTATATCACGTATGGGCCCTTTAAGACTAGATGTCATCTTGTCCTGGTTTAGTCCTGGTCTAGGCTCTGGTTTTAGTCCTGATTTGATCCTGATTTATTTTTTCTTACTTTAATCCTGGTCTATCCCACCAAGGTCACCTCCCTCTGTCCCTCTTTCTCCTTCTCTTTCTCTCTCTACTCCCACCCCATCTCCCCAGACCCCCCTCCTTCTCTCCCATCTCGCCCCATCTCCCCGTCCCCCGTGCTGTCTGTCTGTCTGTTATGGCAGCGTACACATCTTAATTATGCCCCAGTAGAGATCCCCATTATAACGATTAGTCCAGCGTGCCAACACAAACTCCACACACCAACCATTTAATTAGGCATGAGCGCTAGCTCACACTGACCGTCAGCACTGAATCTGTGACATTAGCATTGGAGCAGTGCTGCCCTGACAGAGACAAAGAAATCAATTTATGGGTGACGCTTGTTGCTGGTTTAAATTGGATTTTAATACGAGCCCAAATGGGGGAATTAAGAACATGTACTTGCATAGAGGGACATTATTAATATGGTAAGCTTTTGATGAGTTTGCATTCTGCCTTGTTAGTTTATGGGGTAATTTGTTGGGCAAGTGTTGAAAATCCCCACATGCCAGTAATGGGGAGACTATAATTATGTTGGGGGAGCCTTAAATGGTCGATGGAGGAAATAGAACTTCTTGTAAAAGCAATTTGTATCACAGATTATTTGACTTTAATTGTGGCTGTGTTCTGCCATTTCAACATTAACATTGTGGGTTCAGACCATGTGTTAGCTGACATACAATGTGGATAATTGGACAAACCTAAATCTGCATAAAATCCATATAGTTTAAATAGCATAACTGTTAAGTTGCACATTTGCTGACCTGTTTTATCGTTAACTTCTTAGGTTCTTTTTAAAGACAATGCAGTAAAGTGTATTTACCTTGTTGACATGTTTCGGCTGCTAGCTGCAAGCCATCTTCAGAACTGTCACCGGTGTTGGTGGTGACGTGTCATATATCAGCTGTTGTTACTTCCTGTAGGCGTGGTCAGCCTGATGGACCTGGCAGGTCGCTCAGACTGACCACGCCTCCCGTCGCCCGGTGTTCTCTGGAGGAGGGTGTCCCAGGTGTGTGAAAGGAGGAACGCTCCGTCATCACGGTTAATGCTGTCCATGCCTCGCTTTCTGATTTCAATGGCCTCCTTGATCCAGCGTTTGAACTTGTTGTTTTCCGTCAGTCTGAGCGACCTGCCAGGTCCATCAGGCTGACCACGCCTACAGGAAGTAACAACAGCTGATATATGACACGTCACCACCAACACCGGTGACAGTTCTGAAGATGGCTTGCAGCTAGCAGCCGAAACATGTCAACAAGGTAAATACACTTTACTGCATTGTCTTTAAAAAGAACCTAAGAAGTTAAAGTATATAAGAAGACATAATGAACATCATTGGCTTAATAAGAAGGTGTTTTATCGTTAGTGTCTCTGTAATTACAGGGCCTATCCACATGAAACAAAAATGTTCAATGTCTTTTTTGTCAATATAAATAAAAGTTATATAAGTTGTTCACAGCTTCATAAAGGGGTGTATTTTTTAGAATATTAAACTGTTGTAATGTTGTAGCTAACTTATGTGTTTAGGAGTGTTCAGCATTGTAAAAGAGTTGCTTGTTATTGGAAAATATAATCCAAAATAATGTTAGCCCTATTGTTAACCCTATGTTATGTTGATCCTAATAGTATACAATCTTTATTGTTTTATTCACTGTTCTAATAGCCTGTTTTATTGTACCTCCAGGTCAGAGACAGTGGTGGAGAGAATGCTGTGCAACTGGATGTCCATCTGTCTTTACCAGTTTCTTAAGGTGAGGAAAAAAAAAAAAAAAAGACATCTGGACAGACTCATTGTAATTTATATACTGGTATTTCTCAAATCTTTTCCCAGAATTTGAAATTAGCCCAGTTCTGATTAATTTTGGTTGTAACTTTCCATTATTACAAAAGAGTGGTATTTCCAGTTGTTTCATTTGTGCCCTATTCTCTAAAAACAATGTAATAACACAATGGTATAACAGATCTTTTAGGCTTCTAGCATTAAGGTAAAGTACTGTTGAAAAGACTGAATATTAAATACAATAGTACCAATCAGTGACATGTTCACACTGCAAATAATCCAAATACAGATGCTTGTGCTTGTCTCATCATGTGTAACATATTTCACTTGTGGATGTAAAAATAGCTGAAGCTCACACTGTTTTAAGTTCTAACGGTGGTTCATTGATGACCTGATTTCCAGTATTGGACATGAGCCTTTGCCTCCTAAAGCGCTAATCACAACCATTAGCCCGCACAGATGGATGTTCTCAAGGTCTTATTGACAGCCCCACGCTACACTACACACTTGGAATGGATGTTGAATGTTACTGATGTGTAATAACGTGAGTCTGTTTTAAGTTAAAGGTGCACTATGTAACTTCAATAACTCTTCCAGCCAAATCAACTCATAATAGTACTGCAGTAATAAAGCCTTTCTTGTTTCTGTGTTTTCTTGTGTGTCCCAGGACTCGGCAGGTGAGCCCTTGTACAAACTGTTCAGAGCCATAAAGCACCAGATCGAGAAGGGGCCGGTGGACGCACGGGTGAAGAAGGCCAAGTACACTTTGAACGACACAGGGCTGCTGGGAGACGATGTGGAGTACTCTGTACTGGTGAGGCTGACTGTGAGACTGAGACTGCTCACACATACATCTGTAGTATTTGAGTAACCAAGGTCTTACTGAAAACAAATATAGTGTGAATGATTGGAGCTGGTCCGAGGGCCAGAGGTGCAGAGTATAAGCCTTGCTTCTGTCAATCTATACTAACCTCACACATCAAGATGGACTCACGACATTTGTGAGTTCACAAACCCATGAGAATCCATCTTGGCCCCACTGGTCTGCAATATTGAGGTTTGTGCTGAAGCCAAAAGTGAAGTGCCCAAACGAACCAAAACAAACATGGTGACGCAGACAGACATGCTTCAGACTATTGTGTCAATACAGACTAGTTTGTGAAAAACGTGCAGAAGAAAAACGCTTTGTGCATTTGTGGTCAGAAATGTCTATGCTTTTCTCTCGACCGGATCTAACTAAAGTTTGATTTTCATCTTGTTCTGCTCTGGTGATGCTTCGATCAATCAGATTCAAATAGTCGTCATGACACTCTGTGTTTTCAGATCTCTTTCAGCAAGAGCCATTCAGATAAAATAATATGAATATGAATCTGGCCTGAGCCAGGTTAAGTCTATACCTCAGGGCAGCCATTTCTAATTAGACAGAGATGGAGTAATAGAAAGTTTTGTATTGTTTTTTTCTTTGCTAACATATTAAAAGTTAACAGAAGTATTTTTGCTAAAACTTGTTAAATAAAATAAGAAACAAATGAAGAAAGAACCCCATTTGTGAACAATTTAAAAATCACAAACCTAATATTTTTGCCTTTTTGTATTGTTGCTCTGCAGAACATTTCCAAGAATTTGGTCATTTTGAATCTGTCACTGTTGACTTGACACATCTTTTGGGCAATAACGTGAATTCAGTTTGAGCCGCTCCAAAAACACTTCCCTGTGTGGATATTCACATTTAGTTCAGTTTAGCTGTCACACAGGCTGACTGTTCAAAAAGGGTATGCTAATGGTTTAGGGGGAGCTGATTTTTACTATTGTAAGTCACTCTATGGTGACTCCACATTTCCACAAATATGGCTCATAGTCACAGTTAATGAGTTCATAGCTTTACTTCCACTTTCAATTAGACCGGGCAGCCAAGTGGGGCATTGAAAGGCTGTCTTAGTAATCCGAACTTTTTAAAAAATCAGGGCCATGCCTGGGCCAGTTAGCAAAAGACCTGTAATCATTGTTCCGAATAGGTAGATGTCTTCTATGTCCTCCACGGAAAGGGCCGCCAGGCTCACGACTTGCCAGTTTTGCCAGCTGTCCATCTTGTAGCCCATGGGAAAAGTTCTAGGGGGACACCCAGGTTTGCCCTACCCTGAGCTTCTTATAGAAAAAATGGTGTCAGTTGCATTGAGTGACCAAGTTATCAAATCCATAGTTAATTTGCGTTCGGAGAGAGTCTCTCGAAGTATAAAGACACTAGAGAAGATGAGACATAGACACCAAGGCAAAGCAGTGAAGATAAGATAGAGCAGGAGAGGAGAGAAACGTGTCCGCCCTCGCCAAGAGCCAGAGAGAAAAGAACTAAGTTACTTCATATCCCCCCTCAACTATAAAAAGTTACTGCTAACCGCACACTTTTGACTTGTGCAGGCAGTGGATTAACTATTAAAAGAATCACCCACAAATGTAAAGATTTTATTTAATTTTTTTCAATTCAACTTTTAACCAGTTCATACTTTTTGTTGTGTCCATCGGCAAGACATTTCTCCCACCTTGCCTGTGTATGAATGTAATGTGATGATTGGAGGTTGTCCAAAGGGCCATGGGCACAGATTGGCAACCACGCTTCCCCAGGGCAGCTGTGGCTCACTGTGGTTTTTGCAAGATAATATATATGTCACATTATGTACAATGAAATCAAAAATCCCATTCAAATTGCAATCATTTAAGGAACAACAGGCAAAGTGCATCTGCCAAAAACCTGTAGGACGCAGAGATGAATCGTGATCAAAGTCCTAAATTACACAAAATTGACTCTTTAAGCCATGTTATAATGTTGTTACCTCCTGAAAAACATACCTGTGGCTGTTGTTTTGTTTCATTCACATATTTGATTAACCTTTTATTATTAGTCTGTCTACATCTCCCAAGATCAAAATGCTCTGTTCCACCTTGTGATGTCATGAAGCGGTAGTTTTCAAGTGAACAGCCACCTTTTACATTTAGTTCAGCAACTATTGGCAATTAGGGCTGAAATTATCCAAATGATTCTAATGAAGTTATACAGAGTTTAAAAACACAGTGGAGCACTTCCTGTATTATCACATGACATCACAAGCCTATCTGTAGGGTTTGTGTGTTAAACATGTGTGAAAGAAACAAAACAGAATTCCAGGTCTGTTTGTGATGAGGAAACAACATAACAGGGATATAACAGGGATCATAAAGTAGAGTAATATGGGCCCTTTAAATATAATTATTTCCATCACAACCAAAATCTCCTCTCTTATTCTGCATAAAAACTGCTAAACCTGTGATTTAGATCTGTACAAACATGTTCTGAAATGTGATTCTTGTATACATTCATATTTCAGTCTTTTTTTGTCATTTCTTCTGGACACATGTGATCCATTCTGGATCCATATTTCTTTTTTCATCTTCTTTTCTTTTTCTCAGATAACAATGCCTCTGGACGTGTTGAAAATGTGAATCATGAGCTGAACCCTACTATTAAAACTACTGCTTGCTATGAGATATTTTTTGCTAAAAATCTTCCAACCCAGAAACACATTCTCATGTATGTGAAACCATAGTGACTCAAACATCATTATTGCATTTTTCACTCTTCTCTTATTTGCCTTTAGAGTTGAAATAAATGAACAGGACTTTAAATTATTATACATCAACAAACACCTTTCATTGGATTCTCATTTTCTACATGCCACAGAGCAGATCCTAGCCTCTTTTTCCTCCTGGCTGAACTGCGCGTGTCTAAATGACATGTTGTCTAGTGGCGTGGTGACCAACGCGATATGCACACAGACAAAAAGTGAGGTGCAGTTGCCATGGAAACGTGCACCAAAACCCCCCGAGGCCCCGGCTGCCCGCTCCTCTGTGACATCCATTCCCAGTGTCAATGTTAGTGAATGCAGCAGACAAACCATGCATGCCAATCGAACAGGGCTGAGGTGAAAGAGGAACAAGGTGAGGGGACACGCGGGAGCTCACATTCAATGCACGCTTTTTATGGAGGGTGGGATTTGGAGACAGGCCTGGTTTAGCTCTGTTTTTTACTTAGGTTAGTCCAATTTGAGATCTGGCAAGTTATTATGCCTAATTTAGAAATGGTTTTGTTGTAGTGTCATTGCTGTGTACCACTGGAGTGGACCCCAAAAACAGACTCAGAACGAGGGCAAAAATGCAAAAAAGAAACAAAGGTTTATTGACGAGGCAGGATAGGCAGTGGAGGAGCGAGGAGCCAGGAGCTGGAATGCCGGAGTCTTCCACAGCGGGAACTAGGAAATACAAAAATGCAGGTAAGTAACAGGAAGTGATGTAGAAACAAAAACTGAGCCGACTGGTAGATCACCATCAGGTAGACGAAACAATCTGGCAGAGTCTGGCTGGAGAGCTGGGCCTTTGTAGCAGGCTTGATTGCAGATGGAGATCAGGTGCTCCCAGCAGACTCCGCCCACATCCACACAAGGAAGACTCAGGTCACAGGCAGGGGCGTGACAGTACCCCCCCTCCTAGGGGACGTCTCCGGACGTCCTACCAGGCTTGTCAGGGAAGGTCCTGTAGAAATCCCGGAGCAGAGAGGCATCAAGGATGTAATGCCGAGGGACCCAAGATCGCTCCTCAGGACCATACCCTTCCCAGTCCACAAGGTACTGGTGACCCCTCCCACGACGCCGGACATCCAGGATATGGCGCACAGTGAAAGCAGGGTGATTGTCGATGATCCGGGTGGGAGGAGAGGGATCGGCCGGAGGGCTGAGGGGACTAGAAACCACAGGTTTTAATAGGGACACGTGAAAAGAGGGATGAATGTTCATAGATCTTGGTAATTTGAGACGCACAACTGACGGATTGATTACTTTTTCGATGGTGAAATGTCCAACAAACTTAGGAGCCAATTTACGAGACTCTACTTGAAGAGGCAAATCTCGAGAGGAAAGCCAAACCTTTTGCCCTGGTTGGTAAGTGGGACATGGTACGCGGTGGCGATTGGCACTCTCCTGGTTACGAAGACTTGTGCGTTTGAGTGCTGCATTGGCTGCCTTCCAAACACTACGGCAGCGTCGTAGATGGGCCTGGACAGAAGGGACTGCGACTTCCGTCTCCTGAGCAGGGAATAAAGGTGGTTGAAAGCCCAGAGACACCACAAAAGGAGACATACCTGTGGCAGATGACACCAAGGAATTGTGGGCGTACTCGACCCAAGGCACAAAAGAACTCCAAGTGGTGGGGTTACGGGCTGTGACACAGCGCAGTGCAGATTCCAAGTCCTGGTTAGCCCTCTCGGTTTGTCCATTAGATTGTGGGTGATAACCAGAGGAAAGGCTGACAGAAGTCCCTAGAGACAGACAAAAGGCCTTCCAAACCTGAGAGGAGAATTGAGGGCCTCTGTCTGACACAATGTCTGTGGGAATACCGTGAAGACGAAACAAATGTTGCACCAAGATTTTAGCCGTTTCAAAGGATGAAGGTAATTTGGGGAGAGGAACAAAATGCACGGCTTTAGAAAAACAATCCACGATGGTTAAGATAGTGGTGTTTCCTTCTGACGTGGGGAGACCCGTAACAAAGTCCACTGCTATATGTGACCAAGGCCGGCTGGGGATGGGTAGAGGATGGAGAAGACCAGCAGGGGGCAGGTGACTGGATTTGCTGCGAGCGCACACAGGACAAGCAGGAACAAAGACTCTGGTGTCCCGAGACATGGAGGGCCACCAAAATCTTTGTCTCAGGAAAGCTAAAGTGCGATAAAAACCAGGATGACAAGTTAGCTTGGAGGAGTGCCCCCACTGGAGGACTTGGGAGCGCACA